GTTTCACCATGTTGACCAGGATGGTCTCGATCTCTTGACCTCGTGATCCACCCGCCTCGGCCTCCCAAAGTGCTGGGATTACAGGCTTGAGCCACCGCGCCCGGCTGCGGATTTGAAATATTATTAAAAAAAAAATGGTATTCTTAAGAACATACTCCTTTTAGTCCAGTTTTACAAGTGAACCCAGAAGTTTCCACAAATATTCTATTGGGATTCTTCCAATAATGACTACTACGTAAGGCTAATTTAAACTTTAAAAATCTGGTTAGCAGATATTTTGGGTAAATGAAAAAATATTTTAGTCTTTTAAAGAAAAGTTTACCTTTAGTTTTAGAAGGATTATGTTCTCTCAAATAGAGACTTTCTGCAGAAAAATGAAAGTATGTTCATTTGAAGTTAACCTTAGCAATTAATATGACCTTTAATTTACATGACTGTATTTATACATGGAGCATTTCATTATTTGATTTTTTTTGTTTTTGTATAGATGGTTGTGAAAACTTTCATGGACATGGATCAGGACTCTGAAGAAGAAAAGGAACTTTATTTAAACCTAGCTTTACATCTTGCTTCAGATTTTTTTCTCAAGCATCCTGATAAAGATGTTCGCTTACTGGTAGCCTGCTGCCTTGCTGATATTTTCAGGATTTATGCTCCTGAAGCTCCTTACACATCCCCTGATAAACTAAAGGCAAGTACTGATTTAAACAACTCTGAGATTGACGGATACTTTGATTTATTTTTCTAACTAAAATAGGAGGAAAGGCATTTAGATGATTTCCTTGGGTTCTTTGACATTAGCTACAGTAATCTTTTGCTAAACTTCATCTTTTTTTTTTTTTTTAAAGAACTTTTCAAAAACTTTCTAGTCTTGAAGTTAAGAAGTAGATTAATGCAGTGTATAATTTTTTTTTTTGTATTATGTCATCATTAGCTCTGTTTCTTTCAATATAATTTTGGGGGCAATTCCTTTTCATTTTTGAAAATCCATATTCAAGATCATGGCCATTATTTAAAAGAATACCTAGTATAAACATGAGCCTGTAATATATAATCCTAGTTTATTTAATGGGAGATGTGATAAAAATTGTTATGAAGAAAATACAGGCCAGGTGCAGTGCTCAGGTCTGTAATACCAGCACTTTGGGAGGCTAAGGCAAGAGGATTACTTGGGTTATCATGAGTTTGAGACCAGCTTGGGCAATATAGCAAGGCCTTGTTTCTAATGAAAAAAAAAAAAAGAAAAATTAGCGTTGTGTGGTGCTGTGCACCTGTAATCCTAGCTACTTAGGAGGCTGAGGTGGGAGGATTGCTTGAGTGCCCTGAGGGCGGAGGTTGCAGTGAACCAAGATAGCAGCACTGTACTCCAGCCTGGGCTGAGTGAGACCCAGTCTCTATTAAAAAAAAAAAAAAGAATTCAGTGAACAAAATTTTAAGGAAAGGTACAAAAGACATGTAGTACTTGGTTACAGTAATTGTAAGTAAAACTGTATGAATGCAGGATCTTTAAAAGACCAGAAGAGAAGGGGAATAGCATGAGTAATCTATTTAGGAAAATGCTGGTAGAAAGCATGAAGTAATTAGAGCTGTGCAAAAGATGCTGAATGTTTATAAGGCAGGTCAGGTAGGAATTAAAAGCAGCAACAATAAAAGATAATTGTGGAGACCTGTAATCCCAGCAGTTTGGGAGGCAAAGGTGGGTGGATCACTTGAGGTCAGAAGTTTGAGACCAGCCTGGCCAACATGGCGAAACTCCCATCTCTACAAAAAATATAAAAATTAGCCAAGTGTGGTGGCACATGCTTATAATCCTAGCTACTCAGAAGGCTGAGGCAGGAGAATCACTTGAACCTGGGAGGTGAAGGATGCAGTGAGCCAAGATTGTGCCACTGTACTCCAGTTTGGGCAACATAGCAAGACTCTGTCTCAAAAAAAGAAAGATAACTGTGGAAACTATGGGTTAGAGAATGAGTCTGTAGAAAGATTATTAATTCACAGTATGAAAAAATAAAGACAGTGTATGTTTATTTCACTTAATAAGTCTTACTGTTACTTACATGTCAGGAACTGGATTTACAGTGGTGAAAAAAAAGAGGCGTGGTTCTCGGACTCATGGAGTTCTTGATAATTGAAGTGAGGAATGTGCTTATTTGATCAAGCCTACCAATATTCAAGTAGAGAATGTGGAACCTGTTTTTGGCATTCTTGTTTTAAATTTTGATTGGTGAAAGAATCTTAGGATGAGGGAGGAAGAGGGCAATATTTGTCATTTAAAGGTGGAATTGAATTGTAAGATTTGAGAATGGTCAGAGACTTTAACGAAAGTAGATAATACAAGCTGGTCCGTGTAGTTGTGTACCCAGCTACTGGCTTGATTTCTAAATGTGAACTTCTCATTTGCAGATACTTAATCGGTTTAAGGAATGATTCCATTTGTTTGGCCATAGGCTGTCGCTCTCCCTTACTAGATGTTTTGTTGGCATTCTCATGATGGGGAAGTCTAACTTAAGACTGCTGCCATACAATTTACTTAACGTCTCTTGGGGATTTTCCAGTTTGCGTGATCTGTGACCTATTTCAGGACTTAGGGGGTAATGAGAAGTTCTACCTAAAAAATAGCTGCATATCTGCTCTGTTTATAACAGGACAGTTTATGAGAAGACTATAAAATAGCTGAAATTAGGGTCTTTGTGCATTATTCCCTAGCTGAAAAATTTTAAGTATTTAGTTTTTCTGATGAAAAATTTTTTTTTTGAGACAGAGTCTTTCTCTGTCTCTGGTACAATCTCGGCTCACTGCAACCTCTGCCTCCCAGGTTCAAGTAATAGCCTTCCGAGTAGCTGGAATTACAGGTGCCCACACCATGCCCGGCTAATTTTTATATTTTTAGTAGAAATGGGGTTTCACCATCTTGGCCAGGTGCTTCTTGAACTCCTGACCTCATCATCCAACCGCCTTGGCTTCTCAAAGTGCTAGGTCTACAGGCAAGAGCCCCTGCCCCTGCCTGAATTTTTGAGCCTTATTCTAAATGCCTCTTTTTTCTTTTTGGGGGACTGTAAAATTATTAAAATTGTTAATTATTAAACATTATTGACTTTGAGGATACTTTCTAAATATTTAAGAGATTTCACTTTGTTTTGATTAGCATCCAAATTCATATGTATGTATATCTGTGTATATTTTGTCTACAGTAGTATTAAATACATATTAGAAAATTGTGATATTTGAGTCTTACCTTTCCACTTTCAGTTTGTTATTGTCATCAGCAAACCCCTTTATTACAGTTGGGTTCATGTTCAGACAGTAATTGGTGAGGTTATAAGTGACTGTTGTCTTTCCATTGCCACATAGGGTCAGTATGGCATGCATTCTCTTTTAACAATCCAGGAAAGGTTCATTCATAGAGAACATATTTTCCACAGTACTACTGTCAAAGTAACTTTTTTTTTTGTTTTAAGTAACCTTTAAAAAAATTTTTTTAGGTTCAGGCGTACATTTGCAGGTTTATTATGTAGGTAAATTGCATGTTATGAGGGTTTGGTGTATTTATTTTTGTCACTCAGGTAAAAACTTGGTTCCCAATAGGTAGTTTTCCTATCCTCACCCTCCTTCCACCCTCCACCCTCAAGAAGATGTTGGTGACTGTTCTGTTCTTTGTGTTCATATGTACTCAATCTTTAGCTCCCACTTATAAATGAGAACATGTAGTATTTGGTTTTCTGTTCCTGCTTAGGATAATGGCTTCCAGTGCCATCCGTATTGCTGCAAAGGACATGATCTCATTCTTTTTTATGGCTGTATAGTATTTCATGGTGTATATGGAATATTTTCTTTATCCAGTCTACTGTTGATTGGCATTTAGGTTGATTTCACATCTTTGCTATTGTGAATAGTGCTGCTACGAACATACACATACATATGTCTTTATGGTAGAGTGATTTATATTCCTTTGGGTATACCCCAACAATGGGATTGCTGGGTTAAATTGTAGTTCTATTTTCAGTTCTTTAAGAAATTGCCAAATTGTTTTCCACAATGGCTGAACTTATTTATATTCCCACCAGCTATGTATCAGCACTCCCTTTCCTCTGTAGCCTTGCCAGCACCATTTTTTTTTTTTTTAAAGCTTTTTAACAATACCCGTTCTGACTGGTGTGAGATGATACCTTGTGGTTTTGGTTTGCATTTCTGTAATCAGTGATGTTGAGTATTTTTTCATACGCTTATTAACCATAAGCGTGTGAAAGAGACACTTCTTTTGAAAAGTGTCTCTTCATGTTTTTTGCCCTCTTTTTAATGGGGTTGTTTTTTGCTTGTTAATTAAGTTCCTTATGCATTATGGATATTAGACCTTCATTGAAGGTATGGTTTGCAAGTATATTCTCCCATTCTGTAGGTTGTCTCTTTGTTTTGTGATTCGGAAGCCTTTTAGTTTAATTAGGTCCCATTTGTCAATTTTTGTTTTTGTTGCATTTGGTTTTGGCATCTTCATCATGAAATCTTTGCCAGGTCCTGTGTCTAGAATCTTATTTCTTAGGTTATTTTCCAGGGTTTTTATAGTTTTAGGTTTCACATTTAGGCCTTTAATCCATCATGGATTGATTTTTGTGTATGGTGTGAGGAAAGGGTCCAGTTCTGCATATGACTAGCTACTTATCCCAGTACCTTGTATTGAATAGAGAGTCCTTTCCTCATTGCTTGTTTTTGTAGTTTTGTTGAAGATCAGATGGTTGTAGGTGTGCAGCATTATTTCTGGACTTTCTATTATGTTCCATTGGTCTATGTGTCTGTTTTTGTATCAATACCATGCTGTTTGTAGCCTTGTAGTATACTTCAAAGTTGTGTAATGTGATGTCTCCAGCTTTTTTTTTTTTTGT